TTTCAGTTTTTTTCTTGGGTTGTTGTTTATTTCTCAATTTCTGTGAGCTCTTTATATTTTTGGTTCATTGTCTTACAAGTTGTAAATATTTTTTCAGGCTAGGAATTATTATAATCTAACCAGATTCTTTAAATCCATTCTTCTCTTTTCCCCACCCCATCTCCTTGTGCTTAAAGATTCAGACTGTGGCCCTGGGACAGAGTCTGGTCCCTATTGGGAGGGAACCACAACTTTGATTTTCTTCCAGGATTTAAAGTTGTTTTCATTCATTTATTAATTTATTTAGGGACAGAAGGTCTCACTTTGCCATCAAGGCTGGAGTGCAGTGGTGCTCTCTTGGCTCACTGTAACCTCAACCTCCTGGGCTCAAGTGATTCTTCTGCCTCAGCCTCCCAAAGTGCTGGGATTGCAGATGTGCACAACTGTGCCTGGCCCATAGACACATTTTCTTTTTTTTTTTGTCGGAGTCTCACTCTGTTGCCCATACTGCAGTGCAGTGGCACACTCACTGCCACTGTAGCCTCAACCCGCTGGGCTTAGGCAATCCTTCCACCTCAGCCTTCCAAGTAGCTGGAACTACAGGCATGCACAACTATGCTGGCTAATTTTTTGATTTATTGTAGAGACGAAGTCTTGCCAAGTTGCCCAGGCTGATCTCGAGCCCCTGGGCTCAGGCAGTCCTCTCGCCTCCACCTTCCAAAGTACTGGGATTACAGGCGTGAGCCACCACACTTAGCTGACACGTTTTCAGCATGAACATGTGATAGTGTGCATGTGTTTGAGTTGTATCAGGATGGGTTACATGATGCCGTGAGACCAACCAGCCCCATATCTCTAATTGAGCTGATATATCAGAGACTTATTTCTCCCTCTTGCTGTGTGGTGGTCAAGGGACTTCACTCATCATAGTCATTTGTGGACCCAGGATGGAGGTGATGCAAGTCTTTTGTTGCTGTTGTTAACAGTTTTATTGATATATAGTTTACCAGGCAATAAAGTTCGCCCGTTTGAAATGTGCAAACAGTTTTTAGTATAAAGAATTAAGTGATTTTTAAGTATAGAGTTGTGCAATCATCATTATACTCTTGTTTTAAAATACTTTATTACCCTCAAAAGCAACCCAGTACTCATTAAGCAATCATTTCCCCCTTCCTAGCCTTTCTCTAGCTCCTGGCGGCTCTCAATCTGCTTTCTGTCTCTTTCGATTTATCTGTTCTGGGTATTCCATGTAAATAGAATCAGACAATATGTGGGCTTTTGTATCTGGCTTCTTTCACTTAGCATCATGTTTTCAAGGCTTATCCATGTTGTAGCGAGGATCAGGAGTTGCTTCCTTTTTAAGGCTGAATGGTATTCTGTTGTGTGGATCACATTTTGTTTATCCAATTCATCTGTTGGGCAAAGATGCCCTGGTCTTTGGTGATTGTAAGACAGCTCTGAATATGGTGCATAAGTCCTTGTGTGGACATGCTTTCCTTCCGTCTTGACACAGGCGCCCACTGGCACCAACACTGGGAATGGCACCTGCCTTTGACAGAGACTGACACGCACCAGTGTCATGGCTAACTTCAGAGGAAGTGGGAAAATGCAGTTCTATTGCAGGCCTCGAAGAAGTTGAACTGGAAATACTTGCTGCGTATAACCAATCTACAGAAGAGAAGAGGAAGGGATGTTCCTGGTGGCCAGGAAAGTGGTTCTGGGTGGACAGGTCACACAGAAATGGCTCATTAGAGGGAAGTTCCATGGCTTGGTCCTGAAAGCTGGTTGTTGGAAAGACTCCACATCTTCCCAGGAGTGTCTTAGGCGATATGGGAGCAGAGAAGGCAACCACACAGAGATAGTATTAAATGGAATGGAAGTTTAGGATTGGGCACTTCTGAATTTCACAGGAAGTGTTGTAGCTCGGAGCCTCATCTCAGCTATGTGACTGGCTTTATATCACCTTCTCTCTCCTCACTTGGATAGTGCCTCCCTTGCAGAAGTGCAGCAAGGGAAGCGCCATGAAACCTCTGGGTTAGCACTTGACGTGGTACTCAGTAAACTGACCAGCAGCAATTGAGCCTGCAGTCACTGAAAACCCAGACCTGGCCTTCCCGAGGCTCTGAGTATCTCCTTGTGAAGCATACATGTGCTGAAGAACAGCCCTGTACTCTTGACCTGGATATCTCTGTGGTGGCTGAAGAAGGGAATTGGCTGGAGCGAGGAGGGAATGGATGGAGCAAGTAGGGATGCTGGCAGCACTGATGTGGCCAGTGCATATTCTGAGGGCAAGTAAACAGTTCTTCCTCTGCCTCTGGGCACACATTTCTAAAGCAGAACAATTTCTAGGCACTGGAGCAACTGGGCAGATCTACACATGCACTCAGTTGTCAGTGCTGGAAACGAGCCTCTTATTATTATTATTTTTCTAAACAAAACAGGACAATGGCAGTGTAAACACTGTTTGAACAAAAAGCATTTGGCTAATGGAGATAAAACCAAAAGGAAAATAACAACTTTGATTTCCTTTTGGTTTTTGTGTTTTTACACTTGGCAGCATACTTCTAATCTTTTAGGAATTAAAAAAATTATATGGTATGCAAACTGCTGTTTGTTTATGCTGTTAAATTTAGTGTGAAATAGACTCAAAAATTCCCCTGCTCTTGGGGTGTCAGCTTGCTTTCTTTTGCTTTTCTTTTGCAGGGGATGGTTAAGAGCCCATCAAAGGCATCTGGGCACTCAGGGAAAACAGTAGTAGTTGCAAAAAGTTTAGTCTTATTTCCTTTTTTTCTTTTCTTTTTTTTTTGAGTTGAAGTCTCACTCTGTCTCCCAGGCTGGAGTGCAGTGGCATGCTCACGGCCACCTCAGCGTCGACCTGCTGGGCTCAGGCGATCTTTCTGCCTCAGCCTTCCAAGTAGCTGGAACTACAGGCGTGCACTACCACGCCCTGCTAAATTTTTGATTTATTGTAAAGATGAGGTCTCACCATGTTGCCCACGCTGGTCTCGAACCCATGGACTCAGGCAGTCCTCTCACCTCGGCCTCCCAAAGTGCTGGCATTTACAGGCTTGAGCCACTGCACCCGGCCCAGCCTTACTTCTTTTTTCTCCTTTTTGAGTTGGAGTCTCACTCTTGTCGCCCAGGCTGGAGTGCAGTGGCATGCTCATGGCCACCACAGCCTTGACCTGCTGGACTTAGGTGACCCTTCCGCCTCAGCCTTCCCAGTAGCTGGAACTATAAATGCACACCACCACGCCCGGCAAGATTTTGTGATTTGCTGTGGAGATGAGGTGTACCAAATTGCCCAGGCTGGTCTCGAACCCCCAGGTCAGGCAGTCCTGTCACCCCAGCCTCCCAAAGTGCTGGGATTACAGGCTGAACCACTGTACCTGGCCCAGCCTTATTTCATACAGCTCTCTCTTGTCTGCTATCTTACTGGTTCTCCCAGGCCACTGTTTCCATTTTACAACTGAGGAAACTGAGATTCAGCAAGGTGACCAAACGGTGGTGGATACAGCAGTGATCTTCCCACGTGGCTGAGTTGTTTTAAAACTGTTACCAATATATTGATAGGTCGTGTTTTATGTTCAGTTAGGGCATTTGTGGTTGGTGAGGGTGTGGAGAGGATCAGTGCTCTGAGGGAGGGTGAGAGGGAGGAAGGGGGAGATCGTGAGCAGGTGGGATTGGACTTGGTGCCCTGTGGAGTCATTCATTCCTGCAGCAGATGTGTGCCAGGCACTATGCCAGGCCTGGCATGCAGCAGTGTGGAGACAGTCGAGGCCTCTGTCCCCCGAGAGCCTGCAGTCTAAAGGTCGTGGGAGGAAAGAGGGAGGGTGGGGGAGAGGCCGGAAGCCCAGGAAAGCTCCAAGCCTCTGGCGCAGTCAGGCAGGCAGCAGGTGGTAGGTCCTGGGCAGAACATCCCTAGAGGGAAGGGGAATTGGTGTGGGTTGGGAATTGGGGGTAGTTAGTTCAGTTTTGTCCTGAAACTGGAGGAGAAGGTGGTGTGCTACAGAGGTATGCGCCAATGGTCAAGAAGGTCTAGAAGATTCTGTGTGGTTCCCCCAAAGGACCTCTGAACTGTTTGTAGGTGGTCTTTAGTTGGAAAAGACACGATCCTCCCGGCTGTGTACTGCTGTACAAAAGCATGCCCTCTGCTTCTGTGGCACTGGATGGTTCTCCTGTGTCTCTACTCTGCTCTTGACACTTTCTTGGCCTTTGCTGATGGCCATTTGCCTCCTCCTGGCTTGCATCCTCATCCTTATTGCAACCTCACCCTCATTTTCTCTCACTCTCTCCCTGTGCCCTCACCTGCTCCTCCCAGATGAACGCCTCAGCCCCAGTGCCCCTCCTGCACCGGGTCCTAGGTTGGTCATCTCCATTCTCCAGGCCTGTCCTGCCGGCACCTTCAGCCGTGTTTATCTAAAATAAAGTTAAATATGCTCCTCTTGCCTTCCCCTGAAACCTCTCCAGCTCCTCTTTCTGTTAAGGGTGCCATTGTCCTCTTGGCTACTCCATTCTCTCCCACTCACCCACAAAGGCATTTGGTTGTCAGGGTTCATTCTCCTGCTTTGTGTTTCTGTTCATCTCCCACCTTTCTTGTTCTCCCCCTGCACCTGGATTCAGGCCCTAGTCTCTTCTCACCGCATCTGCTGTGGCTTCTTAGTGGTCTTCTGTTTTCCTCCTCCTCCCTCTGCCCTGGTCCTTTCTTCTCCTGCTGCTTGATGAAGATTTCAGAAATACCTTTCTGGCAACGTCAGTTCCCTGCTCTCAAACAAAGCAAAAACTAACCTCAGTAGCTTTGCCTTAAGCAATATTTCCCAAAATAATTTTAAGTGGTATGCAGTTGAATGTTCTTGGCTTTAATAGTTCCCTATCTTAAAAACGCCATAGTTAGTGACCCGCCTGGGCAGCGAGACCTCATCTCTACAATAAATCAAAAAATCAGCCGGGTGTGGTAGCGCATGCCTGTAATTCCGGCTACTTGGAAGGCTGAGGTGGAAGGATCGCCAGAGCCCAGCAAGTCGAGGCTGCGGTGGCCGGGAGCCGCCACGGCACTCCAGTCTGGGCGACAGAGTGAGACTCCAACTCAAAAAAAACCAAAAACTAAAAAACAATGCCATAGTTCTTTGGTAGTTCCTCAGAAAGTGAAACATGTAGTTATCATGATTCAGTGCTTCCACTCCCCAGTGTATACCCACGAGAACTGAAAAACATGTCCATGCAAACGTTTGTGCACAGATACTCATGTTAGCATTATTCATAATAGCTAAAAAGGGGGAAATGACCCAAATTTCCATCAACTGGCGAATGAATAAACAAAATGTGATCCATCCATACAATGGAATATTATTTAGCCATAAAAGGGCATGGAGTGCTGTTACATAATGCAACATGGATGAACCTTGAAACATTGTGCTAAGTGAAAGCCAGACATAAAGCCCATATAGTATATTATTTCATTTGTATGAAATGTCCAGAATAGGCAAATCCATAAAGACAGAGATTAGATTTGTGGTTGCCAGGTCCTGGGGATGGGGAAAATGGGTAGCGATTACTAATGGATATAGGGTTTCTTTTCTAAGTTTTAAAACAAAGTTTATTAGAGAAAGAAGAGAGGAAAGAAAGGGAGACATGCAAGAGTTGGCATGGGTGAGAGAAACCACTGGATATAGGGTTTCTTTTGGGGTAATGAGAGTATTCTGGAATAGTAATGATGATTGCATAACATTGTGGATATACTAAAAAAAAACTCCACTGAATTGTACACTTCTAAAAAATTATAGATATATGGGGTACAAGTCAGGATTAGCCATGCAAGCAGGCTGTGTGCAGGTGAAGCTTGGACCTCCGACTGGCCCTCACTTCCCCTGGTTTAGGACCAGGTACCCTTTGTGATGCTATAGGCCCCCTTCCCCAAATTGTACATTTTGAAATGGTGAATTGTATTTGTGAATTGTAGCTCAGTAGAAACAAAATAAACAAAAAGAGCCCCCTCCACATGCTGTAGCAGTAACATCTGATTTTTCTTTTTTTAATTAAAAAAAAATTTTTTTTTTTTGAGTTGTAGTCTCACTCTGTTGCCCAGACTGGAGTGCAGTGGCTGCTCCTGGCCACCGCAGCCTCGACCCGCTGGGCTCCGGTGATCCTTCCGCTTCAGCCTTCTGAGTAGCCGGAATTACAGGCACACGCTACCATGTCTGGCTGATTTTTTTTTTTTTGGATTTATTGTAGAGATGAGGGCTCGCCAAGTTGCCCAGGCGGGTCTCGAACCTGCAGGCTCAGGCAATCCACTCACCTCAGCCTCCCAAAGCGCAGGATTACAGGCTGAGCATATATGTTGTTACTTTTTTTTTTTTTTTGAGTTGCAGTCTCACTCTGTCACCCAGACTGGAGTGCAATGGCTGCTCCCGGCCACCACAGCCTCGACCTACTGGGTTCCAGCGATCCTTCTGCCTCAGCCTTCCAAGTAGCTGGAACTATAGGCGCGTGCTACCACGCCTGGCTAATTTTTGATTTATTGTAGAGATGAGGTCTCGTCAAGTTGCCCAGGCGGGTCTCGAACCCGCGGGCTCAGGCAATCCACTCACCTCGGCCTCCCAAAGTGCTGGGATTACAGACTGAGCCACCGAGCCTGGCTATATGTTGTTACTTAAAGTAGATATTTGAATTTTAAAGTATGTTGATTTGAAGAAAAATATTAAGCAAACAATGGAGCAGCTTATAGTAATGATTGAATAGGGTAATTTCTAGGACAGTTCCTGGCATATAATAAGTGCTCTGTACTTGTTAGTAATTATTATTGTTGGGAGGAAATGGCAAAAATCTTGAAGGTGAACAGCCTAAGTTGGCAAGTTTAGGTTTCTTAACAAACCTGATGAGGCCCTGGTGGTGCAGCTGATTGACTGGATGCGTCAGTCCTGTGCTCCGCAGACTGCATTTCCAGCCACCTTGCCAGCTGGCGTCTCTCACTGAGGGTGCCCACTCTGCCTGCTGGTCCTTCCTTCTGGTATGTGTGTGCTCCTCACTGTTATTCTTGTCAGCATTGCCTCAGGTGCCCTTGACACCTACAGCCTGTCCTCATCTTCTCAGGAGCTGCCTGGAGCACCCAGTTTGGAGTCTGTTTTGTTCCCCACCCCAGACCAGATGCCACATCTTGTGCTTCCCCAGATCCCCTGCACCTGCTGGCATGGCCTTACATCCAGTGAACATGTGAAAAGTTCTTGTGAGACATCGTGTCACCCGCACTATTAATATGTCTTTGTGATGACAAAATGATGTTATAAAGCAGGTCGGCAAAAATATTTTAATGCTTTTTTTTTTTTTTTGAGTAGGAGTCTCACTCTGTCACCCATGCTGGAGTGCAGTGCACTGCAGCCTTGATCTACTGGGCTCAGGTGATCCTTCCACCTCAGCCTTCCAAGTAGCTGGAACTATAGGCATGTGCCACTACACTCTGCTAATTTTTTGATTTATTATAGAGATGCGGTCTCATTAGTTTGTCCAGGCTGGTCTTGAACCCGCGGGCTCAGGCAATCCTCTCACCTCAGCCTCCGAAAGTGCTGAGATTATAGACGTGAGCCACTGCGCCCGGCCAGGCAAAAATATTTTAAAAGAACAGTTCAGAGAGCATTTGTGTGTCTCTTGAATGGCCAGTTCTTTTTTTTTTTTTTTTTTGAGATAGGGTCTTACTCTGTTGCCCAGGCTGGAGTGCAGTGACTCATTCATAGCTCACTGCAGCCTCGAACTCCTGGGCTCAAACGGTCCCCCTGAGTAGGAGTGATTCTTCTTTTAGGAAGAGTCTAGAAAATCCTGGCACGTGTGTCCCAGGAGTAGTGTTATTCATGATAACAAAAATCCGTAAGTAACCCAGATGTCCACTGACAGGAGAGTGGGTAGTCACTCTGTGTTTTTTTTTTTCCTTCTTGAGTTGGAGTCTCATTCTGTCACCCAGGCTGGAGTGCAGTGGCACACTCACAGCACCCCAGCGTCGACCTGCTGTGTTCTGGTGATCCTTCTGCCCCAGCCTTCCAAGTAGCTGGAACTACAGGCGTGCATTACCACGCCTGGCGAATTTTTTGATTTACTGTAGAGACCATGTTGCCCAGGTTGGTCTTGAACCCACTGGCTCAGGTAATCCACTTGCCTCGACCTCCCAAAGTGCTGGAATTATGGGCTTGAGCCCACCTAAACACTATTAATCATTAGCATGATCACATGCTGTACCACAGTGAAGGTGTATGAACCGCAGTCAGCTGTACATAGCAACAGGGATGAGTCCCAGAAACAAGGTACAGAAGGACGCAAGTTGTGAAAGACCCATCTGTTGTTTAGTTTTACTAGTGTGTGGTACAATTATTTTCTGTTTAAAAAAGAGAGGGATGCCTGAGCCCGCGGGTTCGAGACCCGCCTGGGCAACTTGGCGAGACCTCATCTCTACAATAAATCAAAAATCAGCTGGGCATGGTAGCGCGCGCCTGTAGTTCCAGCTACTTGGAAGGCTGAGGTGGAAGAATCGCCGGAGCCCAGCAGGTTGAGGCTGTGCTGGCTGGGAGCGGCCACTGCACTCCAGTCTGGGTGACAGAGTGAGACTCCAACTCAAAAAAAAAAAAAAAAAGAGAGGGAACATTTCCTCCTAATGTATTCAATCAGTGTTGCAGAGTAAATAAAACACTGCGAATGTCTCCAGCAGAGGAGGGACGAGGGTAGTAATATTTTTATTCTGCACCAAAAAAGGAAGTTTACCTTTCAGCTTTGAGAGACCTGTTTTTTCCCTGAGTGGTATTTTGGATGACAACAGCTAATTCACAGGAACAGTGCAAACTTCTCAGAGCGTTAGAGTCAATGTGACTAATTTAGATGACACTTTTGCAGCCATAGAGGTATCCGTTCTTGCGGATGTGAGTGCTGAAGAACGTGATCTTAAGAATAGTTTTGGAGTCTGTGGTGGCATTTTGGATTTCTACCCTGACATTCCACTGTATTGCCAATCTGTAGAACTTGCCACGTTTCACTGGTAAACTTTCTTTGAAGAGGATTGAAGCCTCTTCTCTTTTGCTGGTTGTGTTGGGAGGAACCGGGAATACCAGGTTCTGATCCTGGCTCAGCCCTACACAGCTCTGGGTCCTGGCATCTGCACACAGGCGAGTCCTGTAGCCCCTCTAGCTGGAGCATCTTTCTCCTGCTTCCTCGACTTGACGAGTTGCTGGGGAAAGGCTCTCCACTGAACAGGGGGTAGGAAATCAGTTGCTTCTCTGACACCTTCTGGCCTCAAACATCTAGACAAGAGGGATCTTTCTAGGGCTGCAGATTTAGCAAGGAAAAATCCATTGTTCTTGTGATTTTGAGCACTGGATTTGTCTAAAGCCAGAAAGAATAAGAATAGGTGTTAAGAAGATGGTACCAGCCGGGCTCGGTGGCTCAGCCTGTAATCCCACGCCTTTGGGAGGCTGAGGTGAGTGGATTGCCTGAGCCCACGGGTTCGAGACCCGCCTGGGCAGGCGAGACCTCATCTCTACAATAAATCAAAAAATTAGCCGGGCGTGGTAGCGTGCGCCTGTAATTCCGGCTACTTGGAAGGCTGAGGCGGAAGGATCGCCAGAGCCCAGCAGGGCGAGGCAGCGGTGACCGAGAGCGGCCACTGCACTCCAGTCTGGGCGACAGAGTGAGACTCCAACTCAAAAAAAAAAAAAGAAGATGGGACCAAGAACCAGGATCTGGGATCAAATCCTGGTCCTTTCATTTGCTGGGAGTGCACCTTGGGCCAGTTACTTAACCTCTCTGTGTCTCAGTTTCCTCTTCTGTAAGATGGGGGGGTAAGGAGAGTGACTCATCGTGATGAAGATTCAATGAGTAGACACATGCAAAGTGCTTAGCACGGTGCCTGGCCTAGTAAGGGCACGACATTTGCTAGCTTCTACTTAGAGAACCTTCTGCTTCCCATTACTCTTCTAATTTTGTTGCTAGTACTGTATCAGAGAGTTAGCACATCTGAGCCTTTCCTTGGAAATGCCAGCTGCAGAGAAGAGCAGGCAGGATTGGTGATGGTGTCTAACAGGTTGCGTGTGTGGTGTGGAGAGAGCTGCTTGCAGATGATAAACTGGGAGGTGATCTCCACCCAGCTTGTTGTCATGGAGATGTTTCTGTGGGCTTTCATCTCCTGCTGCATTGTCCTCGGGGACCTTGCCCTGCCCCAGGGTACCTCAGGGCCCACGTTTGGGAAGACTTTGTGCACCTTGGTGGGACAGGGGAGAGAGGCAGGTCTTTGGACACTTATTATTTGCCAGTGCTACTCATGCGACCCTTACAGCAACCCTGAGCGGCAGCTGCTACCCCCATTTGAAGGTGTAGAAATAGAGACTGGAAAAACTTGGGCTATGCAGCTGGAAAGGCAGGATGTAATCCGTGTGCTCAGAGTAAGAACTACCCTTTTGTGAGCCCTTGGACACTGCCCAGGCTGGCTGGCGTAGCTCCTGAGTCCAGGCTGTTAGGGGCGTGGCGTGCATTCTCGCTGCTGCCTGACTGCCTTGGTGCCCCTGCTCCATGGTGCCCAGCCTTCAGCAGCTGTTTGTTAGCCTAGTGAGCATTCAGGAAGCACCAGGTGTAACTGCTTCTGTTCCTAGGCATCTTTAGGCAGACACTTCTGCAGCTGTTTTTAATTTAAGAGACAGAGACCAGCCGGGCTCGGTGGCTCAGCCTGTAATCCCGCACCTTGGGAGGCTGAGGTGAGTGGATTGCCGGAGCCCACGGGTTCGAGACTCGCCTGGGCAACTTGGCAAGACCTCATCTCTACAATAAATAAAAAATGAGCCAGGCGTGGTAGCACGCGCCTGTAGTT